GACCATAGTGCGACTCGCGAGCTTCTCGCAGGCAATTTGTGAGGCTCTTGCATATCAAATATATGTACGAAATATGGTAAACTAAAATTATTCAGTGTCCAAAAATAAGTAATTAATTAGTTTAGACTCTTTTTACAAAGTTATCAGGAATTTCTTTCTGTTTAAAACCTCCTACACTTCTTCTATAATGATGTAAATATAAACTTGGGGCTCTTAGAAAATCTAGATGTGGCTCTCGAACATTCCTGAATTCAAATGTGCGGCTCTTACTGACATGAATTTTGGCCAACCCTGATATATACATTCAATAAGAATCAAAGTTCTTAATAGATGTGAATAGAACTATTAATAACGTGACAGTTAAGCGTAAATCAGAGTAATAAACTAGCTGTTCATATAGCTTTGAAACTGGAGACTTTTAAGCAACTCATCCGAGATAATTTTAAAGTTGTTGGAATGAACATCCATCTTTTTTTAAACTGCATAGTTTCAATTAAAGGCTCTAAAAATCAGTAATTTTTCTTTAAGCTTTTAATATGATTTATACATGGGCGCCCAAGGATTTTATTTGAATTAAGAATATTATGATAACTAAAAACTGCTTTTTACTTTTCACATTCATAATTAAATCACATTTCATAATTAAATCTGTGTAACCTAACTGTTTTTTGCTTTATTTTTTGCCTTTAATTTATGGAAGGAAGAAAAATGAAAGAAAATCAAAATCTTGCCTCTGAATATGGAAACATTATTCATTCTGAATAAAGTTGTAGTGTGTAATTAGGTTATAATAAAGCATGAGAAGTGAAAAATGTGCCTAAACACATAACTTGACTCTTATTTATGCTTTGAACTAATTTGCATTCTGGTAGATGCAGACGGTAAGTGGAAATATGAACAGAAAAATAACCCGATAGCAAGTCAACTAAATAGAATAAAATCATGTAATTGTAAAGAAAAAATCTCTTTATCTCTGCTAAATATAAAACTGCATCTCATTAAACTGTTTTTCGTTTGTTTGTAATCTGCGAACTTGATAATGCGGATTCTAAAAAAAATTTCATTATATACGGAAGGAAATTTTATTCTTTTGGTGTTGTGACTAATCTCACTTGACTGATAGTAACATCAGAAGAAGCCCACGAATTTTATCGTGCCGTGGAACGCAGGATTGCGTTATGCTGCTTGGGCACTTTAAAGGCCACAGTAAAGATTTGCCCAGTTTCATCCCAATTTTGGAGGAGAATTTGCGGGTCGAAGGTGCGGCTCCCAAAACCTTCCACCTTTCTTCCTTAATCCCGAAACCATTTGAAAGGACTCGCTGCGTATTTTATCCTCATGGTCGTAGAGATACTGTGGTGTAGTGGCCGAAACCGCTATGCAAACCCTGGGTTGTGACATCAGGTTGGAAAAAACGCAGCATAAAAAAATTTATTGAACGCTAAAAAAATGGCCACATACAATCCAAGAGGTAAACCTAAATCTTTTTCTTAAAATTAAACTCTATAAATTTTACGTGCGAGAGCAATACGTGGCTCTCGAGCTTGCATTTTTAACATTGCCAACAATTTAATTATTTTAATAACAACTATTTTAATAACTATTGAAAACGTATTCGGAAGCTAAATAATAACAATTTTCATCTTATGCTCACGAGACATCCTTGCCCATATTAATCTTCAGTTTCTTCTTCCTTTATGCGACCTTATCACAATACTATGCCAGTAGGGTTCAATTTGTTTTGCCTCAAGCTTTCCTTTTTACCATTGCCAGAACATTATTTCCTCCAACCCTCCTTTCTAAAATTCAAAAAATACATATACATTTATTTAGATTTATATTATTTTTGAAAAAGTTATAACGTAAAAAAACAAAAAGCAAGAAAATTTTCGTAAATCTCAAAATTTGAATAAAAGCAGATTTCTATAAACTATGAAATCCTTTCAACTTTTACATCAGAAACACTTCCTTTTACAGTATTTTGAAATTCCAAGACATTTTATTTCCTTATTCTTATATACAAATTGTAATATACAATTTAGGAATATACTTTTCTTTTATTTTGATGTATTATGTAAAATGTAACATCTCATGTAGTAAATCGCAACTGATATATGTATGCGATGAAATTTTGGTGTGGGAAATAATCACAATGCTGAAGCTAATAGATAAAACAGATATGTATTCATTTCTGGTTTCTTTATTTATGTCAAAATATTATTAAGGTGAACATACATAGAGGAAATGGAACAAGAATGGCAATCATTTTTCAAAAATTACAAAGGTAGCTCAAATAATAATATATATATATAAAAAAAAAGAAACACTTCTATATATCCTGTTTTACTGGGCTGACTGACGAAATTCAATTTGTGTTTTTCATGTCTCGAAAGCATTACTTAGGCTATATATTGGATTTGTGTTTAGCTTTGTTCTACCATAGGTATTTTGGCACAAAAATCGGACTTTTTCTTTAAAGACATACCAAGTTTTTTCCATATTAAATTCTACGTCTTAAATTATGCCGAAGGGACAATTTTCGAAAAAATAGCCCTAGTACTTAAAAAAAAAAAAAAAAATAGGCCTCCAAATTTTAGCTCCTGAATCTTAGTTGAATTGGTTTATACACTATTTATCATTAATTAATTAGTTTATACACTGGTTATCATTAATTAATTGGTTTATATACTAATTACCATTGATTAATTGGTTTATACACTGATTATCATTAATTAATTGTTTTATACACTGGTTATCATTAATCAATTGGTGAATTGGTTTATATACTGGTTATAATCAATTAAAAAGATCACAAAAATGGCTCAAAACATTACATGTAGAATTTAATGAAAGTGACCCACAGTATACAACACATAGGTATAAAATAACATGAAAAGAAATTACCAGACAATTATTATGTTATAGAAATTAGGATATATGTAAAATGAAAATATCGGATGTGTCAGTTTGGTATAGGAAAACTAACTTTAATATGGACTATAATTTCCCCTAGAAGTACAAAGATGTGTAAATGCTGTCAATTATGCTTGTATCAATTGTCAATTATTGTCAATTATTGTCAAATCTGCAGGAAGTGAGAGCCATTGCTCTTGCAGAGCAGTTGCAAGCTCTTGCAAGCAGTTGCATAATCTTCCCCAGAAGCACAAGGATGTGTAAATGCTGTCAATTATGTCAATTTTGGAGAAGGCGAGAGCCATTGCTTTTTCAGAGCAGTTGCAAACGTGGCAAGTGTCTGAAGAGGAAGACTGACTGCAGCTATACATCTTCTTAAAGCATTTCAAACATGATCGATATGATTCAAGGCCGATGATCGAGCTGGCTGATAAATAATTAGCCATGCGAGTCCTGTGCGATTTAGCGTTGTCATCCTACAGTGAGAAATCATCACCTATTTCCTCGGCATAAGAACGCATATAAGCATCAAGGATTTCATCTCTATAGGGCTGAGCATTCATGGTTTCACGTGGAAAGACATGGAGATCTGTGCGTCCACCCAAAGAGATACCACCTCAAAAACAGAGACTGCATCTTCAGTATGTATCTATTTCGCGGGTGTTTGATAGATGATAACCGGTTCCAGATTCTTTCCAAATCAAATAACGCCTATTTTCGCTTTGGAGGCTAAACCTGGACTCATCCGTAAAGAGAATAGCATTCCACTGATAAGCCTTCCAGTGGGCATGTTAATGTCCCCACCTCAAATACTCCCTTCTATGACGTAACGTGAGGAACACTCAGATGGCTGGTCGCTTCTCGTACAGCCTCCTTCGTGAAGCCTCCTACGCGCGGTTGACTCTTACACCAATTTTCCAGTGGCTGAAGCAAGGGAGGATCTGAGTTGAGTCGGAGACGTGGTTAAAAGAGAAAGCAGTTCTCCTTGTTTTACCCATAATCTTTTTCTTGTAATGCTATTATATAGCTCCCACTTCTCATCTCCGGAAATGAACCGCTTCACTAAGAGCTTTCTTACTTTTTTTTTCAACAAAGAATCCCATGCCAAAATTCGAGCAAGCATATTCTACTCTGTTAGAGTATTGGTACCCATGCATCTTAGCAGCTTACATATCAGATCTTCTCCAAATGATCATGCACTGTACTTTTAGGAATATTTAGACTATTTGATAGTTCCTGAACTGTATAACGTGGAATTTCTGCGATAGCTCCTTTTAATAAGTCCTTGTTTACAAGTCGATGGTTATCCAGAACGAATATCATCTTCGAAGCTGAACTTCTCGTTTAAATTTTCACGCTTAAACTTCTTTAACAGCTTTCAAATTGTGTCATCACAAACAGTACATATGTAGCACAAATTTTAGAAAAATTTGACTATCATTTTTTACTGTTTTAAAATAAAAGAACATGATATTGAACGATATTGAACTTCTCGGTTCTTCATTCTTAGCACTACATGGGAAACATTACACCACAATGAATGCCAGAATTAAGCAACGCGAGCAGAAAATACCATATTTAAATATCCGCTTCAACCAAGATCCCTCCTTATGAGTAGTAACAAAATAATTAGAAGAAAATGCTCTTTGATTTGAAAAACCGCAGAACTTTCCGGATGACCCAAAAATGCATTTTGGTTTAAATCAATCACATTAAAAATGAAAATAATAATACTTTTAAGAGCTGCATCTGCTTCTTTATTATAGTTTTTTTTAATTAATAACAGACAGATTAAATACGAAAGAATGATATCTTACTTTTTTCCGACTTGCAGCAGACTGGAATGAAAAGTGAAACAAACGCATTAAAGTACAACACAAAATCGTTTTTCGAGACCAATAGCTCTTTTGGGCTTTTAAAATCAATATGAGTTTGTATTAAGATTTTATACTAAAAATGTCCTGCTTCCAAATGGCTTTAAATGATTTACCTTTTTATTTCTACTCGGATTTGTACTATTCAGGTCTGACGTATTTTTAAAAATTATTTACGGTAAATTTTGTGATAATAATAGTTATGTTTTTTAGGTCAAACATCATATACTGGAACTGAAATCCACGCTTCAGCTTCAACAGCTTCACTAACGAGTAGTGTATCTACTACCGGTACACCCAGCAATGATCCTTTAAAAGGGTTTAAGATTGTTTGTTTGTTTAATAATATGAAATACTATAAAGAAGGCTTCACTCCAGCTATGATTGATCCTACACTGTGTACGCATGTTAATTACGAGTTTGCAATACTAGATGATATGACCTATGAACTGATGACTGGAGAGCCAGATTTGGATGTTCATGAAAATTTCTATCAGGTACGTTAAATTTTGCAATAAAATCATAGTGATTGTTTTTCTCCTGAGTGCTGTTTTCAAATGTGGGTTCTCTGAAAGATTCATTTTAGTGATGAATACTGCTTATTAAAATTTTTAACTAACATTAGACCTGTTATATCGCTTTCTTAAGTAATTTTTATCTGCTATTCTTTTTTAGTGATTTTTTTCTCATTTGTAAAACAGAGATATTCTTATTAAAAATGTTTGCAATAGTTGATAAACCCCAAAACAAATCACTGTAAATATGTTTTATGTAATTTAGACAGTAGTACATCTACATAAAGTTTGCACTAAGTTTAATTTCTTATTTCTTAAACTTCAGTATATAATCCTTATCTTTTGATAAAGGGTGTTCCAATAATAAGGCCGGTTTCTATGCACCCAACAAAACATTTTATTTTTAGTAAATATAAAATATTATTGCGTACTTACAATAGGTAAGTGTTCCGCATTAAGAATGAAAAATGTCTGGCATATGTGCTCTAAGATTTGTCCTACAGCATGTACTCTGTCGATAAAAATTCGAAAAAATTTTCCCACATATCTACGTATCGAGATGACTAATGACACGTTCTGTTTCCTCTTTAAATTCTTTTATTTTTAGCTTTTAATTTCGGATTCTTCAGGATTTGAAATAAAACTGTTATGGACAAAAGCGATATTTTCAACAACCCGAATGGATCGAGAGCGTGGTAAATTAATGCCTGCTGTTGAACCCGATTCCCTAGATTTCTTTATTAATCAGCGACTGGTTGTTAAGTGCGTTTGTATGTCAAAAGACTGCACTAAGCTTTCTAACAGTCTGTATTTAATTAATACTGTTATAATGAGTTTTCACACTCAAACTATCTGTAACTTTGTGTAGCGCTCCATATCGACTAAGCTGCAACGAAGCTTCGAAATTAACTGATAGTAATAAAATGTCCGACTTGCTAGATTAAATCAAACTCCACATTCTTCAATAGGAGTATTTGTTTGTTGAGAGTACATTGAAAATGCCTTCCATTTTCTAAACATAAAGTATTTTTGTAGGCATATTAAGTCTGGAGCTTTTGCTGGAACATCTTATATAGTGCTTGACGAAGTAATTCAACCTGTCTGACTCCTCCGTAGTATTCTTCTCTTGTAATGCTTCTTAACGGTATAGTCTCTTCTTAATGGTTTTCTAAATTTTCTAATGCTTTTGAAATAATGGTCTTTATGTTGAAAATTCACTCAGAGAAAAGAAACGAATCTGTTGTTACAAGTATATCAAATATATGAGGTGTCTGAGAATTGTGGAATTTTCCTTTGCTAGAAACTGTTCGACCAGAATAGAATTGAGTGACAGCGCATTGCCTTACAGTAAAAACTAATAATTAGATTGAGTTTTTTTTCAAGCCTCACGAGCTGAATTATCTTCAGAAACCTGTTCATTATGTCTTTATATTATATGAGATTCACTTTCTATTCTTTATGGAAAAATTTAGCGAAAATTCCCAATCAAATCAAAAATGGTTACCAACATAGCCTTTACTTGCGATTTTAGAAATCGAACATCTGGATGTGATAAATCCTCCTTATGTTTTGTCTCATAATTATCGTTGCTATGTTTCATCTACTGTTAGAGTTTATTTAAAAATATCGAGATTAATGTCTGTGATATAGATCAAATCATGAAATGAGAAATTTCGTCTATTTTTTGTTGTGCCGTCAATGCAAAAGAGGAAGGAGAGCAAATTTTCCTTTTTAGAAGTTTCTTTTTTCAAATGAATTTTAAGCCAATCGTGCAAAGAGCTACAACTACTTGGTCCATCTTCAACATATTAGGAGCCATTGCACAATCTTCTGTCACACGGATTTTCAATTTTGGCTGAATCTATACAACAAATGTTTATTTTTTTAGCTTAAACATGATTTAGTTAACAGTCGGGAATATACAAGATATCATGAGAGAAAGAAAGAAGTTAAACACTTATGCAATACTCTGTTATCTGCTAAGTATGACTCTGAAACCTATTATTTAAGTAGGAAAATTGATGACCCACTTTTAGTACTTACCCTCAATAAGCTTCCTGTCATAAACATTTTGATCATCATACTCATGTTTTTGTAGCAAGTGCTCTCTGTGATATAATGTATAGTTATGCCTAACGTCCGTTTATTATTTGAAGTATTTTAATGCACGAAATACATAATGAGAGTATGTTTTCAAATTTGCTCCTGAAAGCGATATCTTTGTTATCAATATTCAATTTTGAAAATTTCATGATAGATATGTTTTCTTAGAATTACGTTTAAATAAAGTAGGGGCTGCTTAGAGGCTATTTATTCTCATCTATTCTGGCAACATTAACTGAATGATGACATAAACCGATGAGAAAAAAATATTCTTCAAAATAGCAACGGAATATAACTAATTTAATATAAATATAATTAGAAGCATATAAACAAGTACTTTCACTGCAATTTAGTCAAGAAAATGCCCAAGCTTTTTTATGAATTAATCATAATGCTTTTCAATGCAAACTTTCATTTACGAACTGTTTGGAAAATGACTTGACTAACGGTGTACATCTAAACTTAAATACTCGGATAACATCCCTCATTGGAAGAGAATATACTAATGTAAGATTTAAAATTAGGCAAAATAAGTAACCTTAGTTTCGCAATATTGTTATAAGGGAAATCTTTTTGTTTCTGAAGTAAAAAGAACTGTATCTGATCACTCTTAAAATTAATATTAACCAAATTGTTGCTCACGCTAAGCAATGCCTTTTCCCTGTGCTTATACAAACGGTCGAGAGTTCGGGAATTCCATAGCAACATCTGAAGATTAATCGCGATCCCATTAATTGTTTTTTCGAAAAGGCATCAGTTTACGTGATTGAAATAAATCATGTGAAAAGAAAATCGATGTGGAATCAAATTCTAGAAAAAAAAAATTAATCAGGTTTAATAAATTCAGTGGGAAAATTTAATTAAATATATATATATATATGTATATATCCTTTTGTTAAACTAAACAAAAATATTATTGCGAATTGTTTCGGCATTTAATCCCATATTTATCAGAAAATAGTGCTAATTAAGTAAGTTGTGTATAATTTAAAATAACTTAATTATACCATATTAGATAATGATTAGGTAATTAGCATGATAGACATAATTAACATTTAAACCATCAAATGATAATTTATGTTATTGATGTGTTATCTACTAATATTCAACAAATTAATTTAATTTATCTTGTTTTATTAATCCAAAATAGCCAGGGGAATTCAATTTATAATTGTGAAATGAAAAGAATATTGCTTCTGAAATCTCATTTTGTGTCAGGCGTAGCAACTTTTATATAGCACTTCCCCTTACGTGAGAAAACATCATTTGGTACACACAGCTTAAACACTTTGCAGCTTTGAAAAAATTGCAAAGTGATGCAATTGCCTGTCCTTTAGGCGTCAGTTAGTCGGTATCGTGAAGCTAGTATGTGCGCAGAGCACCACCCACGCATTTGAATCGTCGTAACAATACCTTTAATGTTATTTGTTTGATGTCTGATTATGCACATACATGTGGGCAAATTTATGCACGCAGGAAATGTGCATAACAGGTAAACAGCAAAGCTATCTCACGATGAATTGATTTTGCTTTTCACATGAGTTTTATGAGCTCATATTTAGTTTACTCAAGGTGTTTCATTCTGAGTGGAATTATGTCACTGATTTTTAACATATTTAAGCTATTGAATTTTGTACACACACTGTTTATTGATGACAATGTAATGTGATGAAGCGATTTGTTTCAAAATTCGATTAAGTTTTTTTTGTCTTTATTTTTTTCTATCTTCGCCCATTTAACAAGCAAATTAAGTACATCAGAATTTTACTGTTTGCACCATCGGCAAAAAAACCGAAAAAATATCTCTTCAATAAAACTTGTACGAAAATTGTAACTTAAATTAGGAATATTGGCAAATTTTTGAAAATCGCTCAATTGTTTAAACTGTTTGACACTTATTATGTTTGACACTTTCAAAATTTAAACGTCTAAAAATGTATCAGAAGTGCAATTTTGGGTACTTTGGTATTGTTGCAACGAACCTGGTGTAGGTTGGAACCTGGTGTTTTTTGATGATGAAAAGAATGGTGATTTCAAATCGGAGAAAGTTACTTCTTTCATATCATACATGTTGTTATGTACATATTTTAATTTTAGTTCAATATTTATCCCTGAAAACAATTAATAAAACTACTTACAAATGGTATCTCTTGTATGAAATTATTCCAATCTACCACATTCTTACCTACCATTTGTAACTCTTCCAAAAAAAAAAAAAAATCTATATTCTATGATTCTTTACTCCATCAGTATATAAATCTGACTGCTGTAGTGAATGGCAGTACGACTATTCTCGAACCAGTTGTCTCTTCGAATGCCTACGCGTTCGTTACATTTATTCACGGTGCATTTGCAAAAAAAAAAAGGTTGTTTTCTAAACTACAATATCATCAAATGGGAATCTGAATATTCCCGCCTTTGTGGCAAAATATTATATTCCTGCAAAAAAATTTTCCCACAACTTTTTTCGTATGTAGGCAAATCTCACAAGCGCATATTTCAAAATTTAGCTGAATTCCTAAAATATCGTAATTTGCCTTACAACTAAAACTAATACAACTAAAACAGCATGATGATATTGTGCTTATTCAAACTCACAGTTATCGATATGGTTACCTGAAGAATTGTTTTGCTCATGGTTGCCACAGTTTGGCGACTTCTATCAAGGTGGTTACTAAAGTAGCAAATTTTGAAATTTTTACAGATTATAAAACAAACTTTTAGCGCTCTTTTTAAAAAAAGAATGATAAAAAGTATTAATTGAGCGATTTTCTACATATTTTTAAAAAAGGTGTAGCAGTCCAAAGCAGAAGGAAGAAAAAATGTGTTTCTCATGGAAAAATTGCTTTTGAGTTTGCCATCTTGACGACGCACTTAAT